GGGAGTGCGGGGGCGGCGGCGGCCGTGGGTGGAAGACGGAACCACACCCCCCCCCCGCCCCCCCCCACACCCCACACCCACACCCACCCCCACACCCACACCCACACCCACACCCACACCCACACCCACACCCACACCCACAACCACACCCTCACCGATGTCAACAAGATTCCTTTCAATGTCACTTTTTTATCGATAATAAGTCGAAAGTGTGTGTTAACTCAATCGAAAAATATCATCATTTTTGAAATGATAAAATTTATTTAAGCTTAATTGAAAACTTTGCATATCCATTCGGAGAAGGCAAATCGAAAAGCAACTCTTCAATTAGATAACAAAACGATTTTGTTGTATTTCTACAACATGTTACTTCAATGGTATATTAGTTCAGGCATAGTCGAAATATTTCAGACTATTTTGCATACATTTTATCAATCGCGTTTTCTAACCTTCTTTTGTATCTCTCAATTATAGGGTGGCCAGGTGCGTCCCTAACACATTTGTCTAAGGCACGTTGAAGGTAGTCGGATGCCATAGACCAGTCAGACGATATTTCGTAAGTGCGCGCAAAGGCAGTATATATTTGAGTTTCCAATGCCAGTTTATCGGTGGTCGACGGGTGTAAACAAGACTGCAAACTTTGGTGCAGATGTTCGCGAGCCTCTTTTAAACAGTTCAACCTCGTGCAGATTAGGGCGATATTATAATTAATTATGGCTTTTTGCAACATGTCACGTTCTGAATCAACGGGAAGTATACTCAATGCTAGCTGATAATGATGTAATGCCATCTTATCATCTTCAAGATCTTGGTAGCAGGCAGCTATGTTATTATGTAGTCTGGATTTATGCAAGAACAAAAATCTAGTGTTGATATCTGTCGGTAGTGAGCGGAGTAAAAAAGTGTAGCATGTAATAGCTTGAGGAATATAACCTTCTTCTCGATAGCGATCGGCTACTTCGCACCAAAAAATTGCCTCTGACTCGTAAAAATTTATGTCAGAGATATCATCATCATTTAAAAATATCACACATTTAAAAATGTCTTGAGGATTCTTTCGATATATCTTCGCTACCTGGCCCACGATATCGAGTACATCCGTCTCTTTTGACTTTGTCTCTGAGATATGTCCAACTTCTTTAACATATCGTTGACACATTTGAATTGCCAGTGGGCCTAACCCCAATCGCAAATAAAAACCAGTTAATGTTTTGTATGCTTCCAACAGATTAGGGCTACATTTTGCTAGTGGTAACTGATCCAAGCGTAACTGTGCTTCAGAACAGTGAATAAGTGTCTTTGACATATCTTGATGGATAGCGTAGGCGAGCATTGCAATGTGAATATAAAGAGGTATAAATCGCCAATCATTAGTGTGTAGTGTTTGTTGAGCAATCAGCAAGGATTTCTCATAATATTTTAGGGCTTCTGCATATCTATTCAAATTGATATTGACTTTTCCTATTTCAGCATATGTTTCTATTAGTGTTGGATGAACTGATGGGAGAATGTATTCTTCGATTTTGAGCGTCTTTTGATGAAGTTCCAATGCCTTTCGGAAGTTACCCAGACGTTGATAAGCACTACCCATGTTATGGTAAATCGTAGCCAATGCTTGCTGTATACTTGTCGATTCATCATCAATATTTGAAACGCAATTTTTTCGTAGGATCAGTAGAGCACAACGGAAATGTGTCAGAGCTTGGTCAATATGTCCGCAACATATGTGGAGCGTACCGATATTACTGTGAATACTTGCCACAATTGGATGATAAAACGGCATTGTATCAGCACAGCATTCTAACGCATGCTGGAACTGATATCGAGCCCATTCTATATAACCCAACTGACGTAATGTTTCACCAAGATTGTTATACAATACTACTCGCTCGGGATGATCAAGAGGCAGTAATTGGCGCACATAATTATAGAAGTGTAGAGCTTGACGAAGGGAACCCATTTTGGAGAGGAAAAGACCGAAGGTAAATATGGAAGGTTGATTACCGACGTGATGGTTTGTGTAGAAATCAAGAAGTTCTGTTAATTTCTTCAATTTCTTCAATTGCTCCTGCATACCCTCTGTCAATTCAAGCTTTACCATCCACATAGTGTCAATTACTTGCTCCACACTTTCGACACGAAATACTGTACCAATAGAAAAAAGGATTTCAGTTTCATCTTTCATGCAGCTATATTCCTGGATGGAAGCAAACGGATGTTGAACAAAACGAAGATCTATTTCGATCTCAAAAACTACTGATTCAATACCATTTGACTGTTCTTCACCGTTACCCGCAAACGTTTGTGCTACTACGCAACTTGTTGACGTCGAGAAAAAAGTATTTATTGAAATGAGATGACCGACACTTGTTTGCAGTTTTATCAGTTCATCTTTGAACATCTTTTGACCACGATAAAAAGTTAAAATTTTCTGCTTGTCTTCGTATTGTTTATTGAAAAGAACTGTTAATTGACGAAATAAATCCAGCAAAAAGAAGCGGTATTTGAAAATAATGTCGAAATTTTTAAGACGAAATGCCTCGTTAAACAGGCGGTAAACGAATGTGTCCCCTGAGTACCATTTGATAGCCTCACTTTCCTGATAATCTTTTTCAAAATTCGTAACCTCTTGCAATTTTATTTCATTATTTGCATAATATTTGCGACACTGTGTAATCATCTCAGACTTTGCATTTCCTGTTGGTGGCAAACGAACAAGCGTTTCGATAAGTAGCTGAAACCACATAAATTTAGCTTGTTCATTGTTCAAGTCTTGTAAGGAACGTTGAGCCGGATCAAAAAGTCCGAACGGAAGAACGTTTGGTGATAGAGAGAGCACGTCGTCTTTCATGGAAGTGATCAAACGAGATTTATCATCGAATATGTCGCGTATTTTATTGAACTTTTTAGTCCAAGACTCATTTTTGTTAACGTTGTCGCAGTATATATAGATAAATGTTATATGGGGTAAATTATGAATCAGAGGTATGAATGTTTCGCCGATGGAAGCAGAGATGATCAATAGGATACGTAAATTATTAGTCTTTCGAATAAATTCGTAGCATGCTAATGTAGTATCAAATGGACGAATCGACTAAATATAGAAAAAAATTTGGATTATTTTTTCATTTCAATAGGCTAAGTTCATCAATGAATACGACATTTAAGCTCAAATTATTTTCGAACTTGGATTCTGGATTGGTTTGGGATCTCTATAAACTGCAAAGATCTCTTGAGATAGAAGAGCTCTTTCTACTCAAAATAAAGTATATACGTGAGTGTAGTGTAGGATATGGATGTGAGCGGATGTGGTTAAGTGGCATTTACTATGATTTACTTCTAGTGAATACTAACAGCCGCATCTATCGACACGCACACGCAAATTTTGAGTTTTGGGGTTCATGTGGTATAGACGGATCTGGTGAGTTGCAATCATTTTATTAAACTAAATTAATATTTCATTTTTTGTGTGCTCAAAAAATGAGTACACTCTAGAATCGGTCAGTGTGGCCACCCCTCCGTCCGTCCGTTTACACGATAACTTTCGAAAGGAGAGTCCGATCGTAATGAAATTCTCTATATAGCTCAGTCTTTACAATATCTCGGTCGAGTTCGAAGTTGAGAAGGATTCGCCGAGCCGTTCCTGAGTTATTGCAAAAATATCCATTTTCCCTATGGCTTCCTATGGGAAAACCGACCTACCCTACTTTCGTAAAAGACTCCCTATCATACTCAAATAAAAACCCAACTTTTATGTACCATTCGATAGAAAATTGCAAAAGCTGCAATATCGTATATAAAACATTAAGGAACAATAAGCCTAACTCACTAATTGCGAAAATAATATACAGAAGTCGGTTCTGCTTTTGTCTGCGCTATAATCGATTCATAAGTAGTGCCCTATCTTCCGATCACAGAGATGGTACTTTGAGATTTTTTCAAACAGAGAACCCGAATCTGTAATTCAATTGCCTTGAAGCCTCCATTGGCTTGGCATTGACCAACAGGGTGTGGGTGTGGCTGTGGGTGTGGGTGTGGGTGGGTGTGGGTGCACGTATTGATTTGATCTACATTCATATTCACACCCACACACACCCGCAGCGATCCCACACCCGCACCCCACCCACACACACCCGCAGGGATCCCACACCCGCACCCCACCCACACACACCCGCACCCTAAGGCACAACCACGGGTATAGCTGTGCGTGTGGGTGTGAGTTTTAGCCTTGACTTAACCT